AAGTTGGGAAAGTCTTCTGCAGATACATTTCTCTGACCAGCGCCCCCACCCCGGTCTTCCCCAACTGGCCATCCCAGGCTGAAACTCTGTCTCTCCAGTGCCTCACCTGCTGCGCCCTCTCAGGCACCCTGGCCACCAAACATGGGGACCCGCAGGTTTTGCTTACACTGTAACTTGTCCTCAGCGCATCCTGCTCTGCCAGCCCCACAGGCCCTGCCCACGACACCTCCTGCAGAGAACCTCCACCCGTCTTCCAGGCCAGACTCTCTCCCGCCGACAGAACACCCCAGAAGTTTGCTTTATTTAATGACACTTTCTTCCATCGATAAGTTATTTGTGTGTATACTCTCTTTTCTCCATTTGACCAGAACATCTTTAGGGGCAGGATTAGTATCATTTTATCTTTGTTTGGAACCCAGCCTCAGTACCTGACAGATACTTTGTTGGGTACCCAATGAGGATTTGTTGAATGGATGAGTTCAAGGATGAATGAATGGACGCATTGAGTGAAGGGCTTATCCAACTGCCCCCCCACCCCACCCCAGGAACACCAGTCCCTGGAAAACCAGCCACATTCTGCCCCTGGGAGTGCCAATTCCCTTCAGTCCTTCCCACCCACTTTTCTAGGGCCCTGATTTACTCCAAAAACAGCGTAAGAGATCTAAGTGTCCAAGAATTACTTCCTCTTCTCAGCCCACACCTACAGATTTCCTCCTCGATTCCCTCTTGCCTGCCATGAAGCCTACTCCTTTGTGATTAATCAAGCCAACACCCACACAGATGGAGGACATCCATTTCCCCTATCCCTGTGTCTTCCAGCAAGGTCCCCTCCAGGCTGGATACTCAAGACCGATAAACGGCTGCCACCATCACTGGAGAGATAATTATGATGTTCATGATAATCTCTTTGCAAGTTCAAAGCACCGGCGCAACTATTATTTCTCCCTCCTCACTTGTTCCCTGGGAGATGGCCAGGGTAAAAATTGTTATCCCCACTTACAGGTAATAAAACTGAGGTCCTTGTCAAAAGTCACCCAGTGAATTGGTGGCAGAGCTGGAACTAACTAGCCCGGGACCCCCATTCATTAGAACACAGATGAAAATACCCTCATTATGTTGTCTGGGCTGTGTTTGTTTGGGAGAGGGGGAGTGTGGACCCCGGTTGAGTGGGGACAGGGGCCGGAGAAGATAAAAGAAAGTTTGTGGCCCTGTAAAGTTTCTCTGCAATGCTGCGGCAGTTGGCACTGGTTAATTCCAGAAGAATCTTGTTCTGTTTTGTTTTAAAACATGACCACATGTCCTAGATTAGGGAAGGGGGGGAGGGTGAATCTGAAGGTAACACAGACACACAGGTAAGCAGATGTTTGCTGTCTTCTCCTGAAAACGACATAAAAGCAAATGGTAGCGCATATTAGCAAGAGGAACTCAAACTGCAACTTCTGGGAGTCTTCCCAGCTGTTAAGCTGTAGGTCTGTGGGATAAACTGGGCCACAAAGGTATAAAATCTTTCCTTGGTGAAGCCTGTCCCTGGGGCCTGTGGAGGGGAGACCTCTCCTGGGGGCTGAGGGCTCCTGGGGGCTGTCTCAGGACTCTCCGCAGCTGCCAAAGTAAGAAGCCTGCTGGTGGGATCATCCCCAAGCCCACAGGGGCTCTGAAAGTCATGGGAACGAAGATTTGTGCCAGAGCCTCCTCTGGTTTCTAACCAAATGCCAGAGAAATTAAGAAGAAAAAGAATGTTTTTTTTTTTTTTTAATTCAAGAGGCCATTTCCTAAAGATAGGGTTCCAGGGCAGTGCTAGGGGAAAGCAGTGATGATCTTTCCTGTCTTCTTCTCTGGCTCCATCCTAAAGCACAGGGCTTGTCCCCCTTCAATCCCAGGCCTGCTCTGGGCTTTGCTCAGCCTTTAGCCCAACACCAGCCTCCATTACTTCTGGACTCTGCTGAGGCCTCAGCGGCTTCCCCGTGCCCCTGGAGGCGGGGGTGCAGAGAGGGGCAGAGGGGTACGACACCCGAGCCCAGAGAGGTGGCGGCCGCGCAACTTGGTGACTGACTGCGCTCAATGCCATGGAATTGTACACCTCGAAATGGTTAATTGTATGCTATATGCATTTCACCCCAGTTAAAAACAAAAACTGAGCTGCCCTGGTTGCCCTCTGGGGTGCGGAGAGAAGCTGGGCCGCCGTGAGGGCTGAGGCTCTTTGCGGGGAGCGGCAGTGAGCGACCACGGGAAGGCCGGTCGGTCTGCCCACCACCCCCGTTCTCCAGGACCAGATGGGAACTGGGGGCTAGGGAGAAAGGCCCAACGGGGGCAGCGCCGGGGTCTGGGCAGAAGAGAGGCCCTCGGGGAGAGCCCGGAGGCTGCAGCCGCCGCTCATTTGCATCATAAGTGATTGGCTTTCCCTGCTCGTCCCTCATTAGGACACAATGGACAGTTGTGTGCGGTGCGGCAGATCCATTTACCGAGGGAGAGAGGAGGCGAGCAAGAGTGACTGCTGGGCCCTAGAGAGGGGGTAGGTGTGGGGGCAGCCGCCTCCCCTCCCCTGCTGCCTGGGGCCTCTGGGACTCTCACGCTCTCACACGCAGAGCAGGGACTTTAGAGACTAAGCAAGTCCCTCATTTTACAGATGGGGAGACTGAGGTGGTAGGAGGGGAGGAGAGTTCCGAGGCCGAGCTCACGGCAGAACTGGGGTTTGGAAATCTAGCCTCTCATTAAGGGACTCACTCCACTTGCCTGCAGTACCTTCGCCATCCCCACCTGGTGGTTCAGGATCGCCCTGGTCTCTTTCCTTCTCTTCCAGGCCTGGGCTTCCATCAGTTCCCTCTCCCTTGTCCATTCCGTCTCTCTATTCCTGCCCCTCTCCGTCTTGTCTCTTTCCCTCCCGATTTCCAGGCAGCTGGGGTAATTACTAAACTTCTAATTAACCCCTGCCCTGACACGGGTGGGGTTGGCAGGAGAGACAGTGATTTTGTTTTTTGTTTTTTTTTTAAAGACAAGCTCCTTTGTGAGAGAGGGAGAGAGCATGGGAGGGGAGATGGTCAGAGGGTGAAGCAGACCCCCCACTGAGCAGGGAGCCCGATGTGGGACTCGATCCCGGGACTCCAGGATCATGACTTGAGCCAAAGGCGGTCGCTTAACCAACTGAGCCACCCAGGCGCCCGAGAGGCAGTGATTTTGAAACTGTCTTGGTGTGTTTTGGGGATCAGTGGGGGGAGAACTGCTATGTGTTGGGCCTATTATAAACCAGGAACTAGGACAGACATTTGACAGTTTATCTCATTTCATCTTTTCAGTCTTGCCAGGTAGGTATTCTTGGAACTGAGAGAGTAGGAGAGGTTCAGAGAGGTTGGGAAACACGCTGGAGAACACCCAGCAGGCAAATGATAGCTAACTCAAGAGTCCCTGCTCCTCCACCCCACACCCTGGCATAGGGGCTAAAGCGGGGTATGGGGCCCACTGATTCTGGGCTCCTGGGTGGCACAACCTCGCTGAAGGAGGGCCCTTGCTTTGTTGCCCCCCCAGGCTGCACCTGCCTTTCCCCACAACCCTACCTTCTGGCTCCCACCTTCTTCTGGGCCCCTTTTGCCTGGTGGTGAAGTCTCACAAATGCAAGCTTAGGCCCCCGGGGGATCCGGGGAGACCATGATCAAGAGGGAGAAACTGACAAGCCGAGCCCCAGACCCTCGAGGTCTCCCTCCTCCTGCCACCCCAGCTCCCTGTCTGCCCCTCCCCTTTGTGGGTCTAACTCACCAGCATCTGCTTCTGTCTCATTGTGCTCTGGGGGAGGGGAGAGTCGGGCGGGGGGTGGGGGGTGTGAGTGGGTGTCTGTGTGCATGAACATAAGGCCTCCGGGTTCATTCTGACACTGAATGAAAAACTCACCAATTATTCGTCCAATCTCATTAATATGCAGACAGACATCTGTTATTTAGGAATCAACAGCAAAGGCATTTTCGTGGGGGGAGGGGCGCTCCCGCACAGGCCCCTTGTTCCTTCTGCTTTTGGGGTGGGCAGCTGCTGGGGAGCCTCCCCTCTCTCTGACCCTCACTCCCACCCACGAGGAGAGGGCGTCGGGGATTTACTAGAGAAGGAGACAGACTCGGCTGGAAGGAGGAAGGAGGAAGGTGGGAGAGGGCTGCACTGTGTAGAAGGAACTCTTCTGTTGGCAGAGAGCAAAAGGAGGGGGGGACACCACAGAAGAGCCAAACCCCTTTCTTGGGGAAGCCAGTGTGGAGGCAGAGACCGCTGTATCAGGATTGCCTGCTAGGGTCCTGGTGACCACTGGGAACCTCAGGGACATGACCCCTTCCCCCCACCTCCCTCAGCCTGCAGGACCAGTCTGAGCCTATCTGGGGTGAGGTCACCATGGCAACGTGGGGTTCTCACCCAGACAATGCAGAAAAGTTTATGGGGGAGTTCAGAAAATCGGGGACCAAAGGACTTCGGCCCGCCTTTGGAGGACTCATTAACGCTCTCTCTAGCCCTCAGGATAGATGAGGGAGCAACACACAGAGACCTCCCCCTTCCTGTCTTTCCTGAGCACAAGTAGGCCCCTCCAAGAGGCCTCCCCTGATTCCCTTGGGCAGGCTCAGACGCGGTCAGGCCTGGATGTGAAAGTGGCCGGGAATAAAGGCTGACCCCAGCTCAGCCACCTATGACGGGTCAAACAGCTCTTCTGTGGCCTTTCTCCTCTCCGACTCTTCCTCAACAACACAGTCAAGTAGACGTGATCAGCTCTTTTCCAGGTGTGAAGCCTGAGGTTCAGACAGGTGCGGAACCTCACCAAAGGCTCCCCAGGGAGGAAGGGGCAGAGCTGAAACCGAGGCCCTCTGCTTCCAAATCTCCAGCTCTTTTTCATGACTGTCCCTTGAGGGAAGGCTGGAGTCCCAAGGGGATGACCCCCGGTCAGCTGAAGCATTTCAGGGGTGAGACCATGTCCCGCCCCTACCCGCACCCCTTCCTTCTCCCTCCTCCCTCCAGGGCAGGCCGATTGCGGGGTTAAGAAACACTGGCAGCATCACAGCGTGATTAGTTGTTTATTTCATTAAATGATTAACGAGGCTACATTGTTTCCCAAACGGGTGTCTAATTTGTGGGGGAAACAGCTGCGGAGGAGGAAGCTGGGTCTGACTGGGTCTGACTCTGGCATCTGGGGTGGGGGTAGGGGGTAGAGTCCTCTCCCTCCAGCCTGCAGGGGCCTTTGAGGATCTAGAAACAGCCCCATTCCCTCCTCCCACCCATTGAGCTCCTCAGCCCAGCAGCACAGGCCCCTCCCCAGGAAGTCAAAAGTCTGGCAACCCAGACCTGCACAGGAGACCACAACCTGTTCCCGGTGGTATTGGAAATGTATTAAACTTTGGGAGTTTCCCCCGCTGATTTACTTTCCTAATTTTGTTTGCTTTAGGCGGATATTGAAATGCATCTGCATTCCCTGAGCGAGGCAGGAGAGAGCAGTTGGGAGAAGAGAGGGGCCCAGACACTCTGCACTTCAGTGGCTATATAGGCTTGAGTAGGTTTTGTATCAAAGTCCAAAGTGGGGGAAAAAAAGCCATGGCCCCAAATCCCAGGTTGATGGTGTGGCAGGTCCCTTTGGGGGAGGGGTCAGTCCTCAGAGCCCCCTAGCTGGGCCCCAGCCCTCTCCAGCAGCTTCCATCCAGGACTCGGGACCCTGGAGGAGGGTCTTGGAGTCAGCTCCTAACCTCAGCTTGGGTGCCCAAGACCCTTGAAGCTGTTCCAGAATCCTTGAGATTAGCTGAGATGGACCGGGACAGGGTCCTGTAGGAGAGGGAGGGAAAGGGCTGTCTGATGAGCCAGCAGTAGATGGGATTTCCTTTCCTCTCAAGACTGGGCCCTGGCATAGGGAAGGAGAAGCTGTTTTAAAGGACACGTCTCAGAGCCAAATCCCCCTAGTCCCCAACACCTCATCCAGATACCCATCTATCCAAAAAACCAAATCTGGTCACTTCCTCTCTGCTTGAAATCCCTGGTGCCTTCTCACATCCTCAGAATGAAGACCTGGTTCCTTTGTGGGCCCTGCGGTGGCCTTGATGTACCTTCCAGGCCTTGTCTTCTGCCCCCCTTGTCAGGGCAGCCCCAACCGTGCCACACTCTTTCTCATCGCCACGTGTTTGCACATGCTATACCCTCTGCTCAGAGCGCCTTTCCTACCCCTTCCACGCCTGCCAAACAAACTCTCCTGCAGCCCTCAGGACCTGGCTCAGAGGATTGGGTGCCTGAGGCTGTAAGGAGCTCCCACAGGCAAGGCACTGTCACACCTGGGGTACCTCTCTTCCCCGTTGGGCTGGCCTCCAGAGCACAGAGACTGGTCCTTTCACAATCCCAAGCCGGTGCCTAGCACACAGTTGGTGCTCAGTGCATATCCGCTGAATGAACGAGGGAGGGATGGGCTGCGAATTCGGGGGGAACCCAGCAGATGGGAGGGTGAGGTTTGTGTTCTATCCCAGAGTGTGTGTCTGGAAGAACTGGCTGGGGCTGGGGGAGGGGACCGCCAGGGATGGTTCCTGGGGGAGAATGTCACCGAAAAGAGGCCAGTGGGAACAGAGCCAGGGAGGGAATGCAGGACAATGTGAAACCAGACTCCCAAGAAAACAGACCAGCACTGTCTTTCGTGACAACAGGATCTCCGCCAGCCCCTCCACCAGCTTTCCTCCTCTCTGGGGTTGGCGTTGGGGGTGGGGGAGGGTGGGCAGTGACCTTAACTCACAGCTGATGTCCCCTCCAAAATCATCCAGGAGCTCAAGACGGAAAGGAGGTGAGAGCCTCTGCCCCCACCTCCAAGGAAACCCCAGGATCAAACTACTGCCCCTTGGGTAACTTCACTGCACATAAGAATCAGCTTCTGTGACATGGAGGTTTTTGAAACTTTCCCTACCCTCACAACTCCTAGAGCACCAACAGATTCCAAGCTGGGGGTGGAGGTGGTGTACAAGGGGCCTGGACCACTTCAGCAGGACCCCTCCCACTCGAGCAGGGGGCCCCAGCTGGGCTGAGGAATGAATTGCACATCAGTCCACTTTAAAACCCCCAAATGGCCTTAGGATTGTCTGGCTCATTAACTGAGATGAATACTCCCCTGATCCCTCACTCCCCCACCTCTGGCTCCTAAAAGGACACTGCTAATCCGACCCATGGCTTTTTTTCCTCTGTGGGCACAGACAAGAAAGTTCTTCCTGAAGTCTAACTTCCCCCCTCCTGCTGCTAGAAATTGGTAGATTGGGTTTTTAGAAAGCAACAAAACTAAAGCCACAGCCGTTTTCCATGGACATGGGCTTTATTTGGGGACAGCTGGGGGAAGGGATTGAGGGAGCTAGGACTGTGGGTAGATGGGGGAGGGACTTCTCAACTTGCTTTTTAATTTAGTGCGTGTTGCCTGGAGGTTAGGATGAGTGAGAACAGCTGTGGAAGGGAAAGGAGAGGAAAAGGGAAGGCCACAGAATGGACACTTTCCTTAGGGAAGGAAGCCAGGGCCAGGATATGGATACCGGGGGTGGGGAGGGAAGGCACCCTTCATAGACTAAGACTCAACCAAAGTCACTGCTCCATGCTTGCTTCCCCAACCCCCTCCCCAGCCCAGCTCCCAGCCCAGATGCCTGTCCTGCTGGCTTCCTCCACTTGCTGTGGGGAGGAGGGGGATGAGGACGTGGGGAATGGTGGCACCCTTCTGCCTTCAGCTCTCCTGCCCAGGAGAAGCGCTCCCTCAGCCTGCCCTGAGGTCCCTACCAGAGTCAGGCGGTCCGGAAGTCAGGTGCAGCAGGGAACAGCTGTGCCCTCACTGCCCCTCCTTACACTCTGCCCCACGCCGGCCCCTCACATGAGGTTGCAGCTCTTGGCTCGATCCTTGTGTATCTCGCTCTCGGTCCCAGTCCCCCGGTCCGGCCGGCCTGCCAGCTGAGCAGATCTCTGCAGTCCACGGCGTGAGTCAGTACGACGCAGCTGCCTATGGCCACGGCCAAGGGAGGCCACTGTGGCCACATGGAAGACATCCCTGACGCTGCGCTCAGAGGACCGGGAGGAGCACTCCACGTAGGACACAGCCCCTACCTGCTTGGCCAGCACAGTGCCCTGGAAGGATGGAGTGTATGGAGGAAGTTATGGGGCTTAGCCTGCAGCTCAGCGAGGGGCAGGGAGTCTGAGGGCGTCGGGGTGGGGGTGTGGCCAAGGGATGGGGTCAGAGGTCAGAGGTCAGGGCAAGGGACAAGTAGGGTGGTTTTCAAATCAGAGATAGAGAGGGGCAGAGGTGAGAGGTCTAGGCTGGGACCAGGTCAGAGGTCAAGAGTCCCACCTGCTCATGTGTAACAGGGATAAGCCTCTGCTTGGACAGCTCCCTCAGTGTGGCCAGGTCGGTGCGCATGTCCAGTTTACAGCCAACCAGCACAACCTTGGCATTGGGGCAAAACTCCTGAGTCTCCCCTTGCCACTATTTGGGGGAAGAAAACAGTTATGGAGGGGTAGGAGGAGGCACACGGTGAACCCTTGCTCCATGCCAGGAGAACACCCTTCCTCACATCATGCAGAAACCATGCACCCCTCTGGACTCTCCCATGCGAGCAAGAAGGTAGGAATGGTGGGCTTGGCCTGGAAGCAGGATGGGGTGTAGGAGATGGGGAGGGAGGAAAGGGCTGGAGTGGGGCTGTGGGGTCAGGGGCCCTGCTTCTACCTCAGTCGCCATAAAGGGTCTACCGGCCTGAAACCTTCCCATTCCCACCCCCTTTCCCAAATTAGTTCCTGAGAACAGACGGATCTGCCCTCCCTCCCCCATCTGGGAACTAGGGCTGCTTTAGCTGACTTCTGTCCATTCAACGTGGGCTTTTTCTCATGGAAATAGAGGCCTGGAGAGGAGACCACAGGGCTCTCCCGAGCTCCTGGAGCAGCATTCCCATCCCCTCCATCTGGGGCTCCCACACCCAAGGAGATGCGGAAGATGGATAAGGAATCCCTTGAGTACTTCTCCCTGCCCTCCTCTATCTCCCCCAGATGCTGAATCCAGCTCTGAGGACAGACTTTCAGGAAGCAGGGGGTGGGGGGGTGAGAGGGATGGGGAAGGACGAGAGCTTCACACACTCTCCAGCTGATGACCATGCCCCAGACATCACTCCCTCCTCCTGACCCATGTTGTGTCAGGACCATGGTTTCTGTCCCCCTCAGTCTAGCCAGGCTGCTTCCCCAGGCTCCCACCTTTTTGAGGACACTGTCCAGTGTTTCTGGTCGGCTAATGTCGAAGCAGATGAGCACAGCATCTGAATCAGGATAGGCCAGAGGCCGGACGTTATCATAATAAGAGGAACCTGAGAGAAGACAGGGAGGGAGGGGACAGATGAGGGTCCTGAGTGGGTGGGAGGCCTGGAAGGGAATGGGAGACCTTACCAATCCTGGCCAAGGGACGCTAGGAACAGAGAATGGAAAAGAGCAATTATTAATATCCCTCAAGGAGTCTGGGTTTCTCTAAGGAGGGGAGCAGGGAGAGGGAAGGTTAGATGGCAGAAAACAGCTCTCCACTTCCCTAGGGGTTTCTCTAAAAGTAATCATTCTTAATCTTTTCTGAGTCTTTGAGAAGCTCATGAAATCTCTGGACATTCTCAAAATTTTGCATATGCTTTCTGGGCTTTGACAGACATCTTCTAAAGCCCTCCAGGGGAGCTGAGTAAAATAAAAACCCTCCTCCCTCTTTTGGAGGAGGAGGAGGGGCAGGGGCAGAGCTCTCCCACCCATTGGGACATCTCAGATTTCTACACTTCAGTCTACAGAAGCAGTTCCCCACCCCTCAAAGAAATTCTAAATGTCTTTTCTAAACCCAGCCCTATCTCCTAAGAAACATGTTCCAAAATAAATCCATTCTTCCCAACTTTCCCAGGTAGGCAGAATCCAGCTGAGAGGACTGGATACTGGGCTTTCTCTCTCAGGACAAGATTTCTGTGTCTCTGCAAGCTCTGCCTCAGTTTCCCCGGCTTTAAGCAGAGAATTGATTTTCCTTCCTCCTAAAATTGGATGGATGGGCTGGGCTTACCTGGAGCCTAAGAGTCTAGCCAAGGGAGGGGCAAGGTGGGGGCCTAGGAAGTCAGGGTGACCCCAGGGACTTGGCTACCTGAAGTGTCCCACATGTTGAGCTCAATGCGGCGCTTGTCGATCTCAAAGCTCGCGGTGTAGTTCTCAAACACGGTGGGGACATAACTCTGCAGAGAGGGATGGGTCAAGATGAGATCCTCCAGTCTTCATCCCAGACAAATGCCTTCCTCACTCCCACACACGGTCCAGCCCAGCCCCTGGACACAAGTTGGTCCGGTGTTGGGCAAAGGGGAGATCCCAGGAGCGGCTGCCTCAGCGGAATATCTGCTAGGTTCCCAGACCCCCTCCCGGTCCCTTCAGCCCCTAGTTCTTCCCTTCTCCAATGCCCAGGACCCCCGACATTCCCCTAGCGTCCCCTCCTGGATCCTCTGGCTATCCCAAATCCCATTCATCTCACCCTGCTCCCCAATTCCTCCCACCCCAATCCTCTGCAGTCCCCCAGAGCCCCCAACGTCTCCCTCGGTCCCTGGTTTTCCGAGCCCTTCTCTCTCGACCCTGGTTACCCCGGCACCCATTTCGGTCCGTCCCTAGGGCCCTAATCACCCATCCCCGCGGCCTCAGCGCCCTCCTCCCAAGACGCGGGTCCCTCACCCCGGGGTAGGCGTCCTTGGCGAACACCTGCAGCAGCGCCGTCTTGCCGCACTCCGCGTCCCCCACCACCACGATCTTGCAGCGGCCGCTCTGCCCCTCCATAGTCCCGGCTACGCGCCGGCCCCCTGCGCAGCCCCCCTCCGGGGCCCCGCTGCCGCCTCCCCCGCCGCTGCAGCTGCAGCCGCTCCGGCCGCCGACACCGGCATCTCGCGGGCCCGCGCCGAGCCCCCGCCCGGGGCCGCGGCCCCCCCCTCAGCCCCGCCCCCAGCCCGACGGCCCCGCCCCCGGCCCCGCCTCCCGCCCGCGCAGCCGGAGGGGCGGGGCCCAGAGGAGCTGGGCGGGGCCCAGGGAATCCGAGGGCCCGGACCAGGATTCCAGCGCATGGGGGTGGCCTGAGGAACCCTTGTAGGTTTGGGGCGGGCCGAGCCGGGCTTATTTGACTGTTTTGACTTCCTTGGAGAGGGGCGCGGGGCAGAGTTTCGGCGAAGTTCTGAGGGGTAGGGTGAAAGCGGCAAACGCGCGAGGCTCAGGCCTTCCGTGTGCCCACGCGTGCACGCCGGTGTGCTAGTGCGGACACGCGCGGGGGCAGCCATCCACTCCCTGAACAGGAGGGGGCGCGAGATGGAAGGAGGAGGGAGTCTTTTTGGTTCGGTCTTACCCCTCCTCTCTCAACGTCCCGGCAGGGAGTCTTGGGGATATGAGGGTATGGACTCCCAACACACCCACCCGGTCAATGGTGACATCATGGCTTTCCGTCCCCATGGCAACGGACGGCCTAGTCTGGGGCTGGGGTGGCTTAACGGCGGGTCTGGACTAGCAGGGAAGTGTGGACTGAGTTTCTCCAGCCAAGCCCAGGGTGGAAAGTTTTGGGGGAGCTGCGTCCTCTGGTGGATACTTCGGGGAGACAGAGATGGGGAGGAAGAGGAAAATTGAATTGCTCACAATGACAGGCTTGATGGAGACATTTAAGGCTTGATCCGGAGTCTAACGATAAATCACACCACTGTTTTGCGTTTGCATGGCATCTTTTACCTTTTAAAAGCTCTTCTTTAAATCGGTTATATTCGATTTAATTTTATCTTTTAGAGCAAGCAATATCACCATTTTACAGAAGGGAAAGTTGAGGCACAGAACTTTAACAGTCAGATGGAAAGTTTTAAAGACTCGGTCTCCCTGCTCCAAGTTGCCACTGCAAGACCACACGAATGAGTCACATATGGGTAGAGTTAGAGCCTGAGGAGCAACTTAGTTGGGTTCCAGTTCTCAGGTCCTGGCTCCACAAATCTGATGTAAGCTCAGGTTTTGGGATCGTCCTTCAGATTGTCTTTTTACATATTAACTTGCATAAGGCTTATTATGAATAAATAAGCAAATTAAGTCGCAGTCGGCATGACCTTAAGAATGCCCTCGCGCGGGTGTCTCTCCAGACGTTCCTGGTCTCCCACCTTTCGCGCTCCTGCCAACACCCGCGCGGTGGCCCTGGCCCTTTAAGTCGACCCGCGAGGCCCCGCCCCTCCCGCGCGCAGTCCGCAGCCGCGGCTCCTCCCGACGCGCGCCCCGCCCTCCCCAGCTGTGCACCTTCGGTCCAGCTGCGCGCAGGTCGGGAGTCCCAGACATGTCCGCGGAGAGAGAGGTAGCCGAGGCGGCCACCGTGGTGGCGGCGGCCGAAGCGGGGGCCGGAGAAGACGCCTCTTCTCAGCCCCCGAAAGCCGAGGCCGCTGGCGACGCCCAGCCATCCGCGACTTCCGAGGGGGCCGCCGCCGCGTCGCCGCCGCCGCAGCTGCGGTGCCTGGTGCTCACCGGCTTCGGCGGCTACGACAAGGTGAAGCTGCAGAGCCGGCCGGCTGTGTCCCCGGCCCCCGGTCCCGGCCAGCTGACGCTGCGCGTCCGGGCTTGCGGGCTCAACTTCGCCGACCTTATGGCCCGGCAGGGGCTGTACGACCGGCTGCCGCCGCTGCCCCTCACTCCGGGCATGGAGGGCGCCGGCGTCGTGATCGCGGTGGGCGAGGGAGTCAACGACCGCAAGGTGAGCGGGACAGGGCAGGACAGGGAGAGGCTGCCCGGGCCACCGAGTAGTGGGGCTCGAGTGGGCGGGGGGCGGGGGTGTGGCAGGGCACTGACCCGGGCAGACGGGCATGGAAGGCGTTGGAAAGGAGCCTGTGTTACGAGGGCCCTGGGGAATTGGGTTAATATTGGAGGGTAGGTAGTGGAGATAGAGTTATCGCCCCCTCCCCAACCATTTCTAATTGTGGCCGCCGCCCAGCAGCGGCGGCGTGGGTGGTGGTTTGGGACCGGGGGGGGGGGGGGACACAATAAGGCACCCAAGCGCATGCGCACAACGACCTTACCAACTACCCCCCCCTCCGCCCCCTGCCAACCCCCCCCCCCGATTAAAACCACACTTGTACCTCTGCCACCAAACAATCCCTGGGTAATTGTGGTCTGTGACCCTGGGTACCGATTAGTGCCTTTTTCCCCGAGGGAGCTTGAGGAGCTCTGTAGTCCGTGTTGGGCGGGGACGCATGACCCTGCCAGAGCCCCAGTCACATGCAGCCCCGTGGTCTGTGGGGGTGTGAGGAGGCCCCTCCCAGAGCAGGGCCGAAGAGACGAGGCACGCCCATCATGGAGGAGAGGGAGCCTGCCACCCGCTCTCCCATCGGCCTTACACTGCCACTCTGATCTTGGGGTTGGTGGGGGCGAGATTGGGTCTCTGGATCTTTTGTCTTAAGCTCTCTGTATCCCGTGACTGCACTGTCTCCTCCTCCAGTGACTCAGCCGGCGGGCCACGACCCCAGGCTGCCCATGGGACCGTTGGGGGGCGGGGGTGGGGGTGGGGGAAACGCCTCTGCTTTCCTCTGGGAGGACCCTCGCCTCAGAAACCCCATTTGGATCGGGGTGGGGGGGTGTGGCACTGGGAGCAGGTTGGCCCAGCTCTGCCGGTCTGTTTCTCCTTTCGTTTATCATTAATCTTGGCAACAAACGCGGACAGCGAAGAGTTCCAAATGAGAAACTTTTTGAGAGACCTGGGGTGAAGCCTTTGCACATCATTTGTTTGAGGATTTCTTTTTAGAATCAGCCCCCTGCAAGAGAGGCCTCCTCAGACTCGGCCTTTCTCTTGCAGGACCTGCTAGTCCCAGATCCCAGAGCTGGAATTCTTGAATTTATTGAGCATGCCAACATCTCCTCCTTAAAGGGCTTCTGCGTCCATCCAGCTCTGGCCCCACCCTTTCCACTGACTTCTGAGTAATCCCACTTTTGAGAAGGTGCTAAGAGGAATTTTGTGTGTGTGTGGTAGGGTGGGGGGAGAATTGTAGTTCATGTTGGAGGCCACCCACCTAACCTCCCTCCCCACACTTTCCGCTTAGTAAATACAGGATATCCTGTCCCGGGCAAGAACCTGATGTAAGAGGCTGGATTCTGTGGGGAGAGCCCTCCTTCCCTCCTGATGTCTGGACTGGGGAGGGGTTCATGGCCCTGCCCTGGGATGGGCTGAGGGGTCGCCTTTAGCCTGGGTAGGTGAGCCTTGTTCTGGGCCAGATTGGTCACAACCCTGGCTGAACACTGCACTTGCCAGCAGTCCTGGGCTATCTCTGAGTCTCCTAGTCCTGAGTCCTAGAGTGGAATGCTTCCATTCCCCAGACCTCATCTCAGACCAGTGCTTGCAAGGAAAGATCCCAGCCTGCCTTCAGTCCTCTTTGTCAGTGGAGTGTGGGGGCTTGAGAACATGAAAAGGGGTGTGTGTGGGAGTCCCATGCCTTCTTTCCGTGGATCCCAAGTCTCTATACAGAATTCCCATAATTCCTGGCAGGGACCACAACAGCCCCGGATTGTCCTGGAATAGCACCCACACTTCTCTCTCCATGGCCTTCAGAGAGTGAGGAGAGGCCTTGCTTTCTCCAGAGATTGCCCCCTTTCCTCTGCCCTCCTCTTGACCCCAGATGCTAAGCTGGAGGGAAAGATTCTGTTTTCCTAGCTCCCTTTCCCTCCTGCAATGAGGCTCTTGTGCAGGTGGCTGGGGCGGGTGGGGGGGTGGGGGGTGGGATGGCTCTTCCTGTTGGATTGCGGCTGTGTGGCTGTCCTTGTCCGTCACTCCAACCCCCTGGCTCTGGGTGAAGGTGTTTTCTGGGCCCCCAGTGCTGGCTCAGAAGCTTCTGGTGAGGTGATTGCACAAGCCCTAGCGGTTCAGAGATCTTTACAGGCATTTTATCATTGTTATTACCTAATACTACGAACTGTTTATTCTGTGCCAGACGTTGAGCTAAAAATTACCAAATGATTTTTTTGCCACTTAATCCTCATAATTGCTCTACTTTACAGACAGGGAACTGGGGCTCAAAAAAGTTAAATGGTTTTTATTTGCCCAAGGTCACACTGTCAGTGAACAGCAGAGCCCATTTTTTCAACTAAAACAGTTTGATGTCTTTAACAATACTTCATGCTGCCCTAACTATAAGCTTCTTGCATTCAGCGATCTTACACAATAGTGAAGCATGAGATCCGTAAAGTTGAGATAAGGACAATATCTACCTCAAAGAGCCGGGAAGGATTAATCGAGCGTTTATATGTAATAAACTTATTATAGCACTTATAATAGGGCCTGGCCTCTGGTAAGCACTCTGTAAGGGTAAGCTGTTATTGTTTTCCATGGTATTATTATTACGATGAGCATGAGGACTGTGGCCGCTTCTCTTGCTACTTCATTGCTAGGAAGAGGGCCTCGTACATAGTAGAAGGTCATAAATTGCCAGTGGGTGGATGAGCGAGGCGCTGAATGATGCTCTTCTCTCATTCCTCAAGGTAGGGGACCGGGTGATGGTGTTGATCCGGTCAGGCATGTGGCAGGAGGAGGTGACTGTGCCCTCAGCCCAGACCTTCCAGATGCCTGAGGCCATGACCTTTGAGGAAGCCGCTGCCTTGCTGGTCAATTACATCACAGCCTACATGGTCCTCTTCGACTTCGGCAATCTGCGGCCCGGCCAGAGCGTCTTGGTACACATGGCCGCAGGTGACAGGCCCCCTCCCTCTATCCCCCCTCCTTACCCCGCCCAGATTTCCTTCGGGCCCCTTCCCTGCAGCCTGTCTGGACGGTCGTCATGACAACACCAGGCTGCCTCGGCCTCTGGCTCCCAGAGGCCTCTGCAGGGTTGTTGCCGTGGTAACATTCAGGCACCAGGTCCAGCCTGGTGTGCTATCCATGGCGACGTCCCCTCACCCGGCACCCCCTCCTTTGCCAGCTGCCCTCCCCCCCCACTTCCCAGTCATGGATACTGGACCTGGTTGTGAGGAGAGAAAGCCTCAGAATGCACCCAGGCCCGAGGAAGGTGACGAGCAGAGTCCTTGAGGGGCAGGACTGGAGAGCGGTGGCGGTGGCGGGGTGGCTCGGCGTCCCCGCCTCACGGGAGTGTCTTGCTGCAGGGGGCGTGGGTATGGCCGCCCTGCAGCTGTGCCGCACGGTAGAGAACGTGACGGTGTTCGGGACGGCCTCGGCCAGCAAGCACGAGGTGCTGAAGGAGCACGGGGTCACACACCCCATCGACTATCACACGACTGACTACGTGGAGGAGATCAAGAAGATCTCCCCCAAAGGTGGGGTCGGGCTGTGGGCGGGGGCAGGATGGCCCAGGACAGGGAGGGGCACTCCAGGTCTGTGGCTCCTCATGCTGTTCCTGGCTGCCCCCTGCCTTACTCTGTGACAGGAGTGGACATCGTCATGGACCCTCTGGGTGGGTCAGATACGGCCAAGGGCTACAACGTGCTCAAACCCATGGGCAAAGTGGTCACCTATGGTGAGTTCGCGGGCTGGGGGTGGAGAGGGCTGTGGGTCTGACGGGCAGGATGCAGAGGCCCAGGGACTCCGCTGCCCGAGCGAGCATCAGGGTTATAGGGTTAGGCCGGGCCGGGGAACGCGTTCAGATGGCTGCCTCCGGGGTGTGGCTGATGGCATTCTCATTCCCTGCTTTTCCTGCGAGTCACACACAGTGAATTCTGTGTCCTTTCTGTGCTCCTGTTTGGGGCTTATTCCCGAGGCGAAGTCCCATCAGTCTGCCTTCCTTTGTCCTATCCTCCTGGGCTTCTTGGGCAAGCTGCATTTTCATCTGAAAAACTGTTTCACACACACACACACAAATGGACAAGTAAATAAAGATGAGGGCAATTCTGAGTCGGCCAGAGTCCGCTTGGGCCTGGCAGCCAGCAGCCGGGGGATCATCCTGTCGCTCCCTGCGCCGCTGTGGGTGATTGTGAGAGGCCCACAGGGGGCAGATGAGCGTGGACTGGGACAGGGACGCGCCCGGCACCTGGATTCACAGGCCGCATCTCCCCGTGCCGCAGGAATGGCCAACCTGCTGACGGGCCCCAAGCGGAACCTGGTGGCCCTGGCGCGCACATGGTGGAACCAGTTCAGCGTGAGCGCTCTGCAGCTGCTGCCAGCCAACCGCGCCGTGTGTGGCTTCCACCTGGGCTACCTGGAGGGTGAGGTGGAGCTCATCAGGGGCGTGGTGGCCCACCTCCTGGCCCTGTACAGCCAGGGCCGCATCAAACCCCACATCGACTCCGTGTGGCCCTTTGAGAAGGTGAGTGGGACGGCTGCGGGGAGGGCTGGGCCGGGACCCCTGCAGGCCGGGGCTCGCAGGGCTGGGGTTCCTGGGAAGAGGAGGGCTGGCTCCTCTCTGCTGGCTCTCTGGAGGGGACCGGACGGCCCTGGGAGCCGAGTCTCATCTTCCTCTCCAGGTGGCGGATGCCATGAGGCAGATGCAGGAGAAGAAGAATGTGGGCAAAGTCCTCCTGGTGCCTGGACCAGAGAAGGAGAACTAGGGCGGGGGCTGGCGGACCCTCAGGGCCCGGGAAGAGAGTTGCTGGGGGGCCCCGCATTGTGCTGGTCACCAGACTCTCTCACATTTCACCCTCTATCATCACGCTCTGCCCTCTCTCCCCCGAAGGTCTCCGTCCTGATGACCTCTCCCCTGCCCTGGTCTGTCTCCTTAGGCAGGGCTGCCCCCTCCCCCCCTTCCTGCCCTCGGAAGAGGTTGGGAAGTGACCACTTGGATGTCTGGGCTCTGACAAGGGGACAGGGAGGGCCAGAGGGAGGCCGGCTGCTTCCTGCCCCCACCCTTTCCCTGGGCCTGCCCTGCTGCTTTTGTGCCAAGGTTAGCCGATCCCTTTCCGTCCAGTTCTGTGTGCTTCCCCCTCGGCCTCATCTCCCCCTCCTGCCCCTGCCCCACCCCCACCCCACCCCCAAAGAATTGAAACGTCAGCTCAGGATATGGGGCCAATCTTCGTGAATCCAGCATGTCCCTGTCTCGCCCTCGTGTCCCTTCAACCCAGGCCGACCAGTGCCCACCTCTGAACTCTGTCGCCTCATTGCATGGCCTTGTCCTCTTTTTCCCATCTCCTTAAGCACAGTTGGGCTTCTTCCACCTCCAGGTTTTCTGCCCCTCGTAACCAAGGTTGCCTCTTACAACAAGGGTGGGAATCAGACCTGCTCCCCTAGGTCACAACTGTGGGAGGGACACAGAGCACCCCCCCACCGGTGGCTCCCCACCCTTCACTGAGTTCTCTGGAGTTGTTCTCAGTGCCTTAGCAACGGAAAACCTGTGCGTGTGTGCGTGGGGGGGGAAGTCCCTGTCTCACACCTCCTTCTCCACCCCTGTACTCCCCAGTGCCTTCCTCGTTCTGCTGGAGCTGGGGTTTTCCTGCCTCCCAGTCCCGCAACACTGCCAAAAATCTGTGTGTGTGCCCGCGGGTGGGAGGGGGGCAGCCCCGAGCCTCCTGGGGTCTGTGGCACGTCCTCTCTGGGGCTGTCATTTCTCTATGGGAGGTGGAGGAGAAGAAGGCGGGAAGCTTTCTCAGCCTCGCAGATAAGTGTGGTATTTACCAGCCAGGGCTCTCAGAGGCAATGCCAACTGTTTCTTGTTCTGGGACCAAAGTGAAAATCAAAGCACATTTCCCGCGTCGTCAAGGGAGGCCCACAGCCTTCTCAGAGCAGGGGGGGGCAGCTTTTCCAAATTCAGCCACAAACTTTGTTTACACGGGTGGGGAGATGGAACAGGAGAATGGGGAGGGGGTGGTTTAGGACCTGGGCCGCTGGAACCAAAGTGGGGACTTCCTGGCATAGGGGTGTAACTCCCCCTGCTCTCCAATGCGGAGTTAGGTAGGGTTATTGCCCAGCCACTGCCGGTGGGAGGTGGGGGGAGGCGCTCAGCCTCTTCATTGTCTAAACGAGGACGAAACGTGTGAAGTGCGATTTCTGCTTTCGTGTACCCCACCCTGTTTTACCGAAGCTGCCTTTGTGTTTGTGTCAATAAAAAGCCAAACCCTGGGTCTTGGATGTTGCCTCTTGAGAGTTGGAGGGGAAGGTGGGCTCCCGGAAGGCCAGTGCTGAGAGTGGAAGGTTAGGGTTCCTCCTGTCATGCTCAAATCAAGTTTCCTTTTACGAAATGAAATGAGAAGATCACGCCACTTTTATTGTTCTTGGGCAGCCTGGTTCGAGAGGCTTGGCAGATGGGTGCGGGCGCCGAGGAGGGCAGGCTCTTAGCCCGAGGTGGCGGTGAAGACCGCCAGGCCCCGCTGTCCGGGGGGCACGACTCTCAGGGCCTCCACCTCCCCACCTCCGCGGGAGGGCTTCTGGAAGTGGGTCTCCAGGATGTCCTGCAGCTGCGAGCCATCCAGGACATCAGGAATGTTGAGCACCAGCACTGACTGGGGCACCGGCCGGAACGCGATCTGGAAAAGGAGCCAGGGGATGGGCAAAGGCTCCTGGGAGTCAGGGACTGGGGGCAGGTGGTACCCCTGGGGGTAGGGAAGGGGCGAGGAGGCCAGAGAGGCTGGCAAGGGGGAGGGCAGAGGGGTTCGGGGACTCTGATCCTTGGGCAAGTTTCCGGCAGGCAGGCAGGCAGGCGCCCGGCCCAGCCCCCGAGTAACCTTCCCACTTACCTCGGCCTTCTGGATCTCCCCACTGAGGTAGGGGGAGACTCTCACAGGGCACTTACACTCGCCCAGTGGCACTGTGAACTGGCCAACCCGGCACAAGTACTGGGCCACTGGAGGGGGAGAGAGGGATGGACTGCTAGCGTCGCGCGCCCTGCTCTCCTGGGGCCTGAGTCCTCAATCGGCCCCAGTCTTGTGGGCGGGGCCCTCACCTGCGCCCTCAGTGAAACCCAGCACGACGCCCCCTCGCAGCAGCTCCCGAGACTCCACGTCACCACCCCCGTTCCTGGTCTTGCCAAAGAAGATCTCCAGCTTGTCCAGCAGCTCCTCCTCACCCAGCCTGAGCCCGGCAGGAAACCCACTGACCAGCACGCTGCGCCTGCTCACCTGAGTGGACACCTAGGGGCAGACAAGAAGGGGAGGCCCGGCCCCGCTGCCTGGGGCCCAAGCGCACCGCAGCCCCGGCGTGTCCCAGGACCCTGCCGCGCTGTCACCTGTATGGTGGTCACCACGGGCAGCTCCAGAGCCCGCACTTGCACCCGCAGCCGGCATTCCTCTATGTGGATCTCATGCTCCTTTTGTTGCAACACCCTCTGGGCCACTGGAGGGGGGCGCCCCGGGGTGGGGGGAGCATGGTCAGTGCCGGGAAGCCTCCCAGCCTCCCTCCCGGGGCCTCTCTCAGAGGACTCACCCTTGGGGTCATTGAAGGTGACCAGAGCAGAGCCTCCAGACAGAGGGTAGCCGATCCGCACTTTGGAGACCAACCACTTGGGCGCTTCCTGGCCCTGCTGAGTGTGTCCTCGGAACACCAGAGGGACCGCAGGTGCCTGGAATGGGACCTGGAGGTGGGGGAAGGGAGGCTGATGCAGCCTTCAAGGGTGGGAGAGGCCCCACCCCGGCCCCCAGGAGGAAAGTGTTCGATGCCGGGGACAAATACATTTATTGAAAGGAGCGGATGGGGCGCCTGGGTGGCTCAGTCGGTTAAGCGACTGCCTTCGGCTCAGGTCATGATTCTGGAGTCCCGGGATCGAGTCCCAGGATCGAGTCCCGCATCGAGTCCCGCATCGGGCTCCCTGCTCAGCGGGGAGTCTGCTCCTCCCTCTCCCGCTCCCCCCTCTTGTGCTCTCTCACTCTCAAATAAATAAATAAATAAAATCTTTAAAAAAAAAAAGAAAAAAAAAGGAGCAGATGAATGTAGGTCAAGCCTATACCGGCACTTTAGACCCAAGATCTTAGCTTGTCCTCACACAGTGCTGCAAGTTTGGTAGCTCCACTTTACAGATGAGAAAACAGGTCCAGAGAGTTCAAGTCACATACTCGAGGTCACAGAGCGAGGAAGCGGCAGCGCCAGGAGGGAAACTGACTTCTAGTTCTTCCTGCCCGGCCACACCCCTCTGCCAGCTTACCTGGTCGTAGGGTAGGGCCCTGAGCTCCCTCCGCCGCCGCTGCAGCTCCTGCAGCCTGCTCTTCAGTCCGGCCTGCTCCTCCCGGAGGGCATCGAGGGTCTATTAGAGCAGGGGGGAAATGAGCACACATCCACCTGCCCTCCCGGAGAGGGAGCCCAGGGGAAGGGGACCCTGTTGCGGACTCTCCCACAGCAGAGCTGATGCTCAGCTCCAGGACAGTCCAGCCCCTTTCCCCTGCCCCGGGCGGGTCCTGGCCTGCTCTCCTCAGGACTTGGCTGACCTCATCCCTGGGGCGCCTGGCCACTCTCTGGGGGCGCAGGAGGGGCCCTGGCAGCAGCCACAGCTGCTCTTTACAGGAGAGCTTGCTTTTAACAAACACTGAGCTCCTGCTGCAGGGTGCTGGGCCCGGACACAGGGAGACACAGGGACAAGAGGCCAGCCCTCGGGTCTGGAGGAAACGGTACCCAAGGCAGCATGTACCCTCACACGACGGACTGTGGAGGACATCGGGAGTATGGAGGAGGGACCGTCGTCCCATAGGACTTAACATCACTAGGGAGGCCTTCAGAAGGAGTGGGGGCTTAGAGTGGCAAAATGTCATACTATTAGCTAACATTTATTTTATTTTTTTAAGATTTATTTATTTATTTATTTATTTATTAGAGAGAGAGCATGAGAGGGGGGAAGGGCAGAGGGAGAAGCAGACTCCCCGCCGAGCAAGGAGCCCGATGCGGGACTTGATCCCGGGACTCCAGGATCATGACCTGAGCCGAAGGCAGTCGCGTAACCAACTGAGCCACCCAGGCGCCCTTAGCTAACATTTATTGAGCACTTACTGTGTGTCAGGCACTGTGTCAAGCTTTTGATATGGATTGTATCACTCCATTCTTGAAACAACCCTATGAGATAAACTCCCTCTTAATCTTATTTTACAGATGAGGAAACCAAAGCTCAGAGAGGTTAAGTGACTTGCCCGAAGTCATTCGGCACTATGCAGGCTGGCTCCAGACTGCTAATCTGTGCTTTCCAGTGAAGAAATCATGCCCCCCCGCCAAAAAAAGAAGTCAAGCCCAGAGTGGGGGAGCAGTTTACCCCACATCTCCCAGCTTGTCCCTTGACTGCCACTCTTTCCACTGTACTAAGCAGCCTTTCAGGCTGGGTATGATTTGGAGCAAGTCCAGAGACAGAGAGTGACAACATGGGCAAGGGAATGACACCAGGGATATGAATAAATGCACCTTTGTTTGTGGGATGGAGTAGACGTTAGCTGGCAGGGTTCACTCTGTGGTTGGGAGACCTGATAAATAAAGTCAGCTCAAAGAAGCGTGAGCTCACTTGGGAAGGCGGGACTCTGTCCTAGTCATCTCTGTATCCCCAGTGTTCAGCAGAGTCCCTGGCACAAAACGGGCATTCAGTCAATGTGTGTTGAATGAATGAATGACTGCAGTGAATGAATGACAGAATGGGAGCATATTACAGAGGGCACCGAAGACATTCAGTGTGAGTTCACTTTGTTTTTAAGCAGAGGAAAGCCAGGGCTTGACCAAATAATGCTGGTTTATGAGTAGTGAGAAAGGTACCCAGTTCTTTATATTTCTATAAATAAGGTGCTTTAAGGCCTGGTTAGATGACATCAATGAGTCCAGGAGTCACTGTAGATGATAGGGAACGCTAGGGACTCACAGACTGGAGAGAGCATGTTCCCACTAAAGTGGAAGCCTCTTCTCAGCTCCAACCAAGATTTTCTCACGTGGGAATGTGGTACCAGTATCCTATACCTTCCCATTTTTAAAAAAAGATTGTATTTTATTTATGTGAGAGAGAGAGTGAGAGCAAGCATGAGAAGGGGGAGGGGCAGAGTGGGAAGGAGAGGGAGGGGGAAAGAATCTCAAGCAGGCTCTGTGCTGAGTGTGGAGCCCAACGTGGGGCTCGATCTCATGACCCTGAGATCATGACCTGAGCCAAAATCAAGACTCGGTCGCTCAACCGAGCCACCCAGGCACCCCAACAAATACAGAGTTTTCTTTTTTTTTAAAGATTTTATTTATTTGACAGAGAGAGAGACAGTGAGAGAGGGAACACAAGCAGGGGGAGTGGGAGAGGGAGAAGCAGGCTTCCTGCAGAGCAGGGAGCCCGATGCGGGGCTCGATCCCAGGACCCTGAGATCATGACCTGAGCCGAAGGCAGACGCTTAACGACTAAGCCACCCAGGCGCCCCAAATATAGAGTTTTAAAAAGAACCATTCAAGCAGGGGAGTTCAGACCCGGTATCAGTAGGAGATGGGGAACTAGTGAAGATTTCTGATGGGGGGGGTGAGGTGCTGGGCACAGTGTTTAAGAAGCAGCATTGCAAGCCATGGCAGGATGAACCCAAGCAGCAGGGTTCATCCCACTGATGAAGGAGTGAGACTCTGAGGTTCTAATTCCCACTGACATGGCAGGAGCTGAGCTGGGCCTCTGGCAGTGGGCATGCACGGGTAAGCACATTTCATGAGGAAAGCGCCAGGACTCTGTGGATGTTTATATTAAGGAGACAGAGGGGACAAACTGGAGAGATGATGCCAAGATTGTAGACCTGGGTGTCAAGAGTTTGGTAGAAAGCCAGGGACCCAACAGGCAAGGAAATGAGCCAGTGGTTATTGGGGGCCTGCTAGGTGGTGGGCACAGTTGGACCCCATCTCCATTTAAGTATCATAAAACTGCCCCGTCTCGAGCTCCCAGCTGAAACTTCTCTCTTATAGGACCCTCTGAAGGACAACACAGGCTGATCGTAGTCACTTACATGAATTTGACTACACATACATGAAAACATGGTCTCCTAAATGCAAGCCAGTGTGCATCTGCCACTCTGCTGAAAAAAAAACAAAAATTGCAATCCTTTCCCCGTGGAGCTCATTGACAGACTGTAAATTCTAGATACTCTAGGGGTGAGTTAATGATTTAAGGTTAATTCTGACTACCTACATGCTTCTGCTTTATTTGCCAACTTTACAACCTCGCCACCCCAGAAGATAAAATCTCATGCTATCTATGTTCATCATAGGAGTATTGGAGGCAGTTCAGCCTAACAGTTAAAAGCACAAACTCTGGGACCAAACCTCTGGAGCTTACATCCAACTCCTCTTAGTCCTGCAAGACAATGAGCAAGTTACTGAACTCTGTGCCTTGGTTTCCTCATCTGTAAAATGGGCATAATAGCAATTTCCACCTACATATAATTTTGTTGGAAACAACGGTGCCTGGCACATAATGCATGCTATGTTGAATGCTTTCTATTGTATCAATCCTCATTTTATTTTTTAAAAAGATTTATTTATTTGAGGGCGCCTGGGTGGCTCAGTTGGTTAAGCGACTGCCTTCGGCTCAGGTCATGATCCTGGAGTCCCGGGATCGAGTCCCACATCGGGCTCCCTGCTCGGCGGGGAGTCTGCTTCTCCCTCTGACCCTCCTCCCTCTCCTGCTCTCTGTCTCTCATTCTCTCTCTCTCAAATAAATAAATAAAATCTTAAAAAAAAAAAAAATTTATTTGAGAGACAGGGAGAGTGTGTGAGCCGGGGGAGGGACAGGGGGAGAGGGAGAGAATCTCAAGCAGACTCTGTGCTGAGCATGGAGACCCCTGTGGGACTTGATCCCACAATCCTGAGATCATGACCTGGGCCAAAATCAAGAGTCGGATGCTTAACCAGCTAAGCCACTCAGGCACCCCTATGAATCCTCATTTTATAGCTGAGGAACCTGAAGTTTCTCAGGGTTAATTAGTGGGCCAAAGTAAGTCAAACCCAAGGCTGTTGAAGACACATGGGGTCAGGGACAGGACTTGGTGGAAAGGACTCTGGGTTGGAACAGCATGTGGTGATGGAAGAAGCCAAAAAGAAGGAAGAACACTTTGATGGACAGAGCCTTAAAAAATGTAATCTTTGGGGCACCTGGGTGGCTCAGTCGGTTAAGCAGCTGCCTTCGGCTCGGGTCATGATCCCAGGGTCCTGGGATCGAGCCCCGCATTGGGCTCCCTGCTCGGCAGAGAGCCTGCTTCTCCCTTTCCCTCTGCCTGCCGCTCTGCCTACTTGTGCTATCTCTCTGTCAAATAAATAAATTTAAAAAAAAAAAATCTTAAAAAAAAAAATGTAATCTTTGAGGATACCTAGTCAGGGGTCAGGGGAGACAAAAGGAATGGCAGAGAAAAAAAAAAAAGAAGGCCTGGCCAAAGATAAGGCGGTGCCAGGGCCTGGACTGGGGACTGTCAGAGACACAGAGGAGGAGGAGCGATGAAGCAGAGCTTCAAGGGAAGGAGGCTATAAGAAGTCCACGCGCTCATCTGCTTTCTCATTCACTCATTCAACAATTAGCTACTGAGCTTCTACCAAGTGCCAGGCACTGCTCTAGGCTCTGGAAACATAGTGGTGAACAAAACACACAAAACCTCCTTGTGGAGTTTATATTCTAGAGGACGAGCCAGACAATAAACAGAATAAATAAAATCTACAGTATGCTAGTGGGGTTAGTGTTGTGGACAAAAACCAAGCAGGGGGAGGATAGAGAATGTTGGAGTACATTTTAAATGGGGTGATCAGAGCGGGCCTTGCTGAGATGATGCTGGATCATTTACTTGAAGGAGATGCAGGAGCAAAGCCATGTGTGCATGTGGGGGAAAGTTCTATGCAGAGGACAGCAAGCGCAAAGGCCCTGAGATGGGAGTTTGTCAGGCGGATCTGAGGAATAGCAAGAAAGCCAGTGAAGCTGAGCAGAGGAATTGCGGGGACGGGGGCTGGAGAGGAAGTCACAAAGGAGGAAACGGGTTGGGACAATGCAGGGCCTTTTACACAATGAGGGGTGGGAAGCCACAGACAGGATGACTTGGCTGTTGTGTGACTAGACTGATGTGGGGAAAGGGCACAAGCAGGGAGACCTCCGAGGAGGCCATTACAGCGTCCAGGAGAGCCATGTTGGTGGCTTGGACCAGGCAGGAGTAATGGAGGTGGTGAGGGGCAGTGGAGTCTAGATTGGTTGAGGTTGCCGATGGATCAGAAATGGAGTGTGGAAGAAAGAGAGGAGTCTGGGATGACTCTAAGCTTTTTGGCCTGAGCAACTGGAGGGAATGAGAGCCATTTTCTGAGATGGGGAAGACTGTGGGTGGAAGAGATTTAGGGCAGAAAATGAAGGGTTTATTTTGAACACATTAGATACGAAGTGCCTATTTGACATGTCAGTGGAGACAGAGGGTAGCAGTTGCCTCTAGGGATCTAGTATTCAGGCAAGATGTCCAGGCCAGAAGTATACGTTTGGGGATTATTCATGTGGGGGAGGTAGAGTCACAAAACTAAGTAAGATCACAAGAAAGTCTCACAACTACATGAGAGCAACAGGGAGGGAGGTGCAGACATAGAGAGGTCCAAGGGCTGATTTCTGGGGGCACCCACCACTAAGAGGTCAGGGGAACAGAGAAGCACCAGCCAAGGAGGATGCAGAGGAGGGGGTCAGTGAACCTAGAGGGAGAACAGGAGTGTGAAGAAGGGTTTCAAGGAGGGGAAGCCAGCGTCTGTGCCAAACGCTGCTAACAGGCCAACAAAGATGAGGAATGAGAATGACCACTGAGACTGAGTGACAAAAAAACAGTCCTACTTATAAGGAAATGGCCAGAAGTTCATGTACAAAGATTATTATTGTGGCTTTATTTAAAACAGAGAAAGAGAGGGGTGCCTGGGTGGCTTGGACGGTAGAGCATGTGACTCTTGATCTCAGGGTCTGAGTTCGAGCTCCACATTGGGTGTAGAGTTTACATTAAAAACAAAACAAAACAGGGAGGCTTGGGTGGCTCAGTCAGTTAAGCGTCTGCCTTCGGCTCAGGTCATGATCCCAGGGTCCTGGGATCGAGCCCCGCATCAGGCTCCCTGCTCCACGGGAAGCCTGCTTCTGCCTCTCCCACTCCCCCTGCTTGTGTTCCCTCTCTCTCAATCTCTCTGACAAATAAATAAATAAATAAATAAAATCCTTAAAAAAAGCAAACAAAAGCAAAACAATAAAATAAAAACAAAACAACAAAACAGACAAAAAGAAATCTACATATCCAACAATAGAGGAATAGCTAGAGGCGTCTGGGTGGCTCAGTAGTTGAGCGTCTGCCTTCAGCTCAGGTCATGATCCCAGGGTCCTGGGCTCGAGCCCCACATCGGGCTCCCTGCTCAGTGGGGAGCCTGCTTCTTCCTCTGCCTGCTGTTCCCCCTGCTTGTGCTCTCTCTCTCTGTTAAATAAATAAATAAATAAATAAATAAATAAATAAATAAATAAATAATTTAAAAAATAGAGGAATAGCTAAATAAATATATCATGTAGCAATTCAAAGACATAGAAGAACATTTAACGATATGGAAAAATGCTCACAATCAGCCAAAAAAGCAAGATACAAAACTGTATAGAAAATAGGATCTCTATTCTGTTGATTTAAAAAGTTTTATTTCATAAGGATCTTTATTAACACATCAAAACGCATGGGGGTGCCTGACTGGTTCAGTCTTGGAAGAGCGTGTGAATCTTGATCTGGGGTCATGAGTTGGAGCCCCATACTGGGTGTAGAGATTACTTTAAAAAAAATATAAAATCTTAGACAAACATAAAAAGGCTAACTCTGGGAAGATAGACACCAAAATATTATTTTTTAAAAAAGATTTTGTCAGAGAGAGAGAGCATGAACAAGCAGGGAGAGTGGCAGGCAGAGGGAGAAGCAGGCTCCCCGCTGAGCAAGGAGCCCTACGAGGGACTCAATCCCAGGACCCTCAACAGACTGAGCCACCCAGGCATCCCCCAAAATGTTACTAATAGAGGTTATCTCTCAATAATGAATTTAGGGTGATTAAAAGAAAAGAGTTTCCTGAACCCACCTTTCAATATGTAAAGGCCGTTTAAGGGAGTAGTTTTGGCAGAGGTAGAAGATGGGGGTGAATCAAGATAATCTTGGGAAACTGGGGTTCTGAAAGTTTGGCAGTAACATTAATAACACATACTGTATGCTTAGTAGGTGCCAAGCAGTGTGCTAAGTTTTTATTGTGTGGATTTATGGCTTATCTGCTTTAATTTTAATTTTTTTTTAAAGATTTTATTTATTTATTTGTCAGAGACAGAGAGAGAAAGCAGGGGGAGCAGCAAGCAGATAGAGGGAGAAGCAGGCTTCCCGCGGAGCAGGGAGCCCGATGCGGGACTCAGTCTCAGGACCCTGGGATCATGACCTGAGCCGAAGGCAGATGCTTAACCAAATGAGCCACCCAGGAGTCCCTAATTTTTTTTTTTTAAGTAATCTCTACATCCAGTGTGGGGCTTGAACTCACAGCCCCAAGATCAGGAGTCACTCGGTTCCAACAACTGAGCCAGCCGGGCGCCCTGAGCCTGTATCTTTCTTACATTTGTGGGACGAATGAAAAATTCCCAAGCAAGACATTTGTGTATTTATGAGATGGGGGAGTAGCAGGGAGGGAAAGACTGAAGAAGCTGGAGAGGGGAGGAGATTCATTCATTCCACAGCTGTTTATTGAGTGCCTACTGCAGGCACAGTGCTGGCATGTCTAGGGATCAAGGGCCAACAGGCTAGACAGGGGGCCAGTCTTAGTCTAGCAGGAGTCGGGGCATTCACGGGTCAGGAAGGGGAAGACTACAGCACGCAGGGGTTAGGTAAGCTCTTGGAGGAGGAACAGGTCTTCCTGTGACCCGGAAGAGGGCCCAGCGTTCAGTTCAAATGAACTGTAAGGCGAGGAACTATCCATTTCAACTCTAGGGTGAAACATAAGGAGGGAAAGTTTGTTGGGCAAGATCTCAGGAGATAAAGGTGTGAACGAGTCTTACACTTTTTGGGTCACAGAACCCTTTAAGTATCTAGTGAGAACTGAATTCTCTCAGAAAAACGCATTCACACAAGGAATTCATGAGCTCTTGAGGTGAAGGTTACAAAACTGTCTCTGAGGCAATGGGTTAGGGGAGAGCTAATCCCAGCCGTTTGCTTCTCCCCAGAAGTTTAGCTGGTCTAAGAGACGGGCAGAGAGGCTTGGCCACCAGACCCTGAGATAACTGCAGATGCCCAGCCAAGAGGAATGCTCCTCTGCTTCTCCCCATCCCCCAACACTCTCCTCACTTACGGCATCACCATACATCACTGACATGGGCCTGGGGTCCGGTTGACAAGAGCTGAGGCTTCAGAGCTGGGCACAAAGAGACAGTGTCCCCTATAACTAAACTCTTGCTTCTACCTTCCGAGGTGTCTTTGTCCTCTCCAAGCTGGGTCTAAGATACACTTCCACTTTCATTTCAGCAAAACCCTGGCGGTTGTTTACACGCCCCAGCTGGTTTCCCCGCCCCTGGGAGGAGCCCTTCTGGCCTTGGAAGTTGACTTCGCTGACTGGAGGCCTGAGGGGAAGCCACCCACAAGTAACAGCAAACAGAATATGGGCCCCAATCAACCACTGATTCCCAGCCTATTAATCGCAGTACAAGCCCGTTGGTAGAATTTTGTCTGCTGTTAAAGATATTTCCCTGGAGGGGCACTGGGTGGCTGAGTTGTTAAGCGTCTGCCTTCGGCTCAGGTCATGATCCCAGGGTCCTGGGATCAAGTCCCGCATTAGGCTCCCTGCTCCACGGGAAGCCTGCTTCTCCCACTCCCCCTGCTTGTGTTCCCTCTCTCACTGTCAAATAAATAAAATCTTAAAAAAAAAAAAAAAATTTCCCTGGAGCCTAGAAAGACGGGCACAGGCAGACTAAGATTGAATGAGAAATGCAACCAGGATAAGGCCTCTCAAGTTCACAAAGCCATGCTCATAGCCAGCCATTTGTGGAGAGCTCTTCTGTGCCCAATACTGGATCTGCTTCACATGTGTTAACTCAGTCTTCCAAACAACCCCACAAAGTTGGTTTTGCCATTTTACAGATGAAATTCTAAACGTCTGAAGCAGGGAAGTATAGAACCTTGCTCAAAGTCATACTGATAGAAGTCAAGCATGTATTCAAACCTGGCTGGAACAGTATTTGAATTTGGGCCTTGAGGTAGAGTGGAGAGAACTTGTCAGTTTCTAGGCAGAGGGTTTAAATTTACTTCCATTTGTGACTGAGTAGGCAAGCTGCTTAGGAGTCTGTCTCAAGAGATGCCCAATACTTAAGGGTGAGGAATCAAACAAAAACACATAGGACACGGTGCACAATAGATTTGTTTTCCTAATATCCAGTCCAGGATTCTTCGAGTAATTCACAGACCTAGCCCTTCCCCGACATCCCAGGTGGATGTATGCCAAGCGCAGTGCTTGGGGAATACACCTGTTTGACTCCTACTTCCATCTAGGGACTTAGAACCAGCTCAGCCGCACAGAGTGCCTATTTCACCAGTAGAGCAGGGTCACAGGTATCCAGTGAAAAGGTAAAACGCCAGATGGGCCAAATACCTTTCCTGCAACAGTTGGTGACACAACTGTACCCAAGACCCTTGAATCACATCTTTTATTTTTTTAAAAAAGATCTGAGGGGGCACCTGGGTGGCTCAGTCATTAAGTGTCTGCCTTCGGCTCAGGTCATGGTCCCGGGGCCCTGGGATCGAGCCCCGCATCGGGCTCCCTGCTCAGCAGGGAGACTGCTTCTCCCTCTCCCCCTGCTTGTGTTCCCTCTCTCGCTGTGCCTCTGTCAAATAAATAACTAAAAATCTTAAAAAATAATAAAAATAAAAAGATTTGAGAGACAGACACAGCGAGAGAGGAAACACAAGCAAGAGTGGGAGAGGTAGAGGCAGGCTTCCCGCCTGAGCAGGGAGCCCGATGTGGGGCTCGATCCCAGGACCCCGGGATCATGACCTGAGCCGAAGGCAGATGCTTAACGACTGAGCCACCCAAATGCCCCGTGAATCACACCTTTTCTTGCAGGTCTCTGCTAGCCAGGCCACTTGAGGACCTCTTCCGATCTCACTAGGAATGGCTCTTCTGGGGCTCAGGCCTTCCTCAGCCCCCACCCGTCATCGGGAGCAGCTCTCCAGGGCGGGCCTCATCAGGGCAGTACCCATATCAGCGGGTAACTTCCCGGAAATTCTGACCTACTAAATCTCAGTGGCACTATGGCACTTTGAGGTTGGTCTGAGATCCTTAGATTGGTGGCTCTCGATCCAAAGTAGCCAGTGCCCACGGAGCGGGGCCTGTGGGTGTTCCCAATGGGGGGCAGAGTGGCCCAGGTTCTACTCTGCACCTGTGAATGTCAGGAGTACTCCTTTTTTTGGGAAACAGTTCAGATCACACCTTGCCCAACCAGGGCGTCCAAATGATGAAAGGATGCTCGGCTGAGGATGGAAGTAGTCTAAGTCTCACAAACGCATTATTTCATATATTCTCCCACAGCCTCTCGCCCATCACCCAATGTCTCATCATATGAATGTTCTTCCTTCCCAGTCTAATAATACATGCCACAGGAAGACAGGGATTTTTTTTTTTTTTTTTTGGGGTATTTTTAATGACTGAAACCAAACAAATCTAAAACCGCAGCTTCTGGAAGAACCACTTGTTCTTGCCGGTCTTGTACCTAAAGGCAAAAAAGGACACCATTGAGAAGAACAGTGAAACCAAATTCCCTTCATGGAGAATAGGGCCACCACCAAAGTCTACTTACCTCTCCTCGAACTTGACCTTGGCCTCTCGTCGGGCCTTTCGTTTAAGAGCAGGGTCTCTGAAGACATCCTTGTTCACAACAGTCTTGTCCAAGGGGATATCCACAGAGTACCTGGGAACAACGGTGGGGACGTAAGATCAGCCCACACGCTGTCAGGGCCCTTCACACAGCCCAAGGACTCCTGGGTGTGACACTGGGGTGTCAGGGTCTGTCTCCATAGGAGCAATCCACAGAAGCTGTGCCAAAGTCCCCGTAATACTCTTTGGACATTCCCCATTTAAAAGGACTCCTTTACGTGGACCCAAACCACGGAAATACTTCACATTTCATTCTCGACTTTCCACAGTGACTACTTTTCTAGCTAAGGACTGTTACTTTATTACATCTCCTTCACTATCATCATGGCGGTTGGCCAGCTTTCTGTTTGGAGCCTTTTTGTTGAGTGTTGTTCACGTGGTGCCTGGGCGGGGGCAGCCGCATTGTGGACAGTGCAGAAGCTGGGCGGCTGCTGAGGTCTCACTGCTTCCCGGCACCCGAGAAACAGCTCTGCTCTTTTAAGACACCTTTGGGAGTCAACATGCAGCGCCCAGCGGCAAACTGTAAGGCACACGCTGCTGGGTTTTGCCAGTCATCGCTCAGGACTCTCAACCACTGTATTTCTGTACAACCTATGCACCAAGATAGCGTGCATGGCGCACAACACTGTGGAAGGCCAGGAACTAAAGGGCACGGCAGCCCAGGGGAATTCGTTGGTGGGGGGTAGGCTTGCTGCCTTTATCTACCATTTTGGAAAGCCTTCAGCAACTATCCTGGAAAGTGGAAGAGTGGCAGAGAGCAGGCCAGATCCCGTGCCCGTGTTTACTCTGAATGCAAACAAATGAAACGATCTTTACCCAACACTTGGAGAATTTTCAGGTGAGGAGACAGATAAAGAGCAAGCTTGGAAGAGATTTTCCATCCTGCTTGGCCAACTCAGGGAAGTCACCACAGAAAATGGTAGAACACAGCTCCATGTTGGACCCAAGAGGCAACACAGGAAACCACCACCACTTTGTAAGTGACACACTAGAATAGCTGCAAGGTTGCCTTATTCAGCAGGGCAGAAAGGGGTGAAAAGAAAATCCCTTTCATTCCCATTCCTTTTAAAAAAAAAAATTCGAGAGAGCGAGAGAGCGCGCACGCATGCACGTGAGCACAAAGAGGGAGAGTGAGAGGTAAAAGGAGACTCCCTGCTGAGCAAGGAACCAGATGTGGGACTTGATCCCAGGACCCTGAGATCATGACCTGAGCTGAAGGCAGACACTTAACCGACTGAGCCACCCAGGAATCCTCATTGCCATTCTTAAAATGCTCACCTTGTGGGCATGAGGTGATTGTAATTATAAACTTTCACAAAAGACTTGATCTTTGACCTCTTGGCGATCTTCTTCTTGCCCATGGCAGCTGTCACTTTGCGGGGATAGCGGTCAATTCCAGCCACCAGAGCATGGCTGTAGGGACGGTCTGAGGTGCCATCATCAATGTTCTGAACGAGCAAGAATCACATGTCATTGACTGAGGGCCTACTTAGGCCCTGTGCTAGACAGATGTAGGGCATGCATAAAAGGAACACCCCCACTGCCAGGTCTGAGACCCACTATGGGAAAAACCAGGCAAGGCAGACCCTCTTGAGTGCTATGCTAGATCGCACAAAGAGTAATAGGGGAGGGTTGTAATCATTCCCACAAGAATCTGGAAAGGTTCCTGGGAGGGAAGAGATCTAAAAGGAACGATAGCAACATCGATGGAGTGCTTGCTTTGTTTCAAGCACTGGTGCTCAGCACTCTACGCCTCTTAGCTTCCCCTACGACTGCACTGCTAGTGAGGAATAGAGGCAGGACTCCAAAACTGGTGGTCTAGCTCCAGAAACCAGTCTCAGATTGAGGGGGGTCAGGGCAACAAAGGGTGTCCCGCGGCCCCACCACGGCCAGAAGCAGGTGTGTGGCCAGAGCTTAGGGAGCTCTCACCAGAGGCTACAAAACCTAGGTGAAGGGCTAGAACGTGCTAAGTGAGCATTTGGACGGGAAACGATTGCTCCTCTTTTTACAGACTCCAGGCCGCAGCGCTTAACCGTTTTCACCTCAGTGCAATTACTTAACGTCCATACACGTTAGCACTAGAAAGGAATCCCCTACGGTGACTTCGAGAACCGGACGTGACAACACCTGCACGGCGGTGCCAGACACCAAGCGAGCGCGCGATAAACGCTGGCCACTATTATTTTTTCAAACCTCCTCGCTAGAGGACGCGTTATGTGTTAGGCGCCCAATTCCACTCACATCTGTTTTTACTTTGCACCGTCCTCTCAAAAGCCCTCCCGCAATGACCCCACCCGCAAGGCTCGGCGAATGCCCCCCAAGCTAGCTCTTGAGCTCCGAGCCTGCAGGCCCTCCGAAACCGCCCAGTTCCCGAGATGCAAGGGCGCAGCAGAGGCTCGCGAGGCTGGTACCTTCACGATGACCGCTTTGCGTCCGGAGTAGCGTCCGGCCAGGACCAGCACCACCTTCCCGGGTTTCATGAACTTGCCCATCTCTGCAGAGGACGGAGAAGGGGCCGATCAGAAACGCGCAAGCCGAGGCCGTCGGCCCGGAAACCGAGGATGCGCTCCCTGCCGTCTCGGCCCAGGCCGTCCGCGGGCCCTGCTCGCAGGACAGGAGCGCTACGAAGCCGCCGGAGACCGAGCAGTGGAAAGCGCCCGGCGCTGCCCCGCAGCTAGACCCCCGGGCCGCGGATGGCGGCGGATTGGAACACCCTACCCAAGTCGCTACTCACCGACACCAGCCACTGGAGCCTACGGCAGAAAGGAAGAAAGGACACTTCCGCTAACCTTTCACCCCGGGGAGTGTTGATCTCACTTCCGGCCCCGCCCCTCAAGCTTGCCCCGCCTCTCGAAATCCGTTGTGGGCGGAAGAAGCTCTGGCGGGGAGAGCAGGCCCTGGGCGCTCATTTATTCAAATCAAACTTTATTAGTAGCTTCAGCTGTGGGCAAGAGCAAAGGAGTCCCCTTCTCCCGCATAGGTTGGAAGGGCGAGGAAGGCTGCAAAGCGCGCAGATTTTTGACTCCGCGGCTCTGCCCCATCCTTGGTTGTAGTTCCTTTCTCGGGCGCTAGGAGGGGACACAGTTCGAAATTGACGTTTATGCCTTGCAAGAGTCAGCAAAATAGGACTTCTCTTAGTGTGCACTGTTAGGCGTAAGGAGGGAGAGATGAAGATCAATCGGTCAAGGGTGCTTACCCCCAATATTTAGAGTCTAGTGATGTCACACCCATTACCGGCTAGAATAAGCAGTGACGATGGTGATAATCACTGAGCACCTACTTTGTGC